GATGCACCACCCTATCCTGCTCCCACCAGAGGATATCCATAAGTTCAAACAAACATGCCATTTCCATCCTGTACTCAGGAAACTGAAAACTGAATGAAAGTAGTCCATGGAAGCCTTCCTCCTAAAAAAGAAAGGTTGGAAAAAGGACACAAATTGCCCAACACAGTCAGATCTACCAATGGCTTTTTGAGAAGGGGGTGAACCATTGCCTCCTTAACTGTTGGTGGGAGCAACCCTTCTATCAAAGAAAAATCCACCATTGCCAGAACCCAACTGCATGTCACCTCCCTGGAAGCCGTAGCCAATCAGGAGGGATGTGGTTCTAATATACAGGTGGCTGAAGAATGCTGTCCACTTCATCAGGACTAAGAGGTTAGATAAACTATGTAAAGTTTTTGTAAACATTGTCACCATCCAGCTACCTGTAAGTTATGTTGTTATTTTTCCCATTTCTCTGCCTTTCACCGATTCCTTTATGACCAAATCAGTAAACTTGCTGTGTCCTTTTATCTAGGGAATGGAACAAAAAGTGAGGTTGGAAATTTTATACAGGAAAAAAAAAAAGTCATATAGTTTACCAGAGCCCCAGTTTATACCTGAATGTATTCATCAGTCAAGTGTAGAATACTGATTTCCTGTTTGTATTTTGTGAAGATTGCCAGTTCTTGAAATCAAACATGTTCAGACACATGGAAGAAACATGGTTTTGGTAGGTGTGAGGCATATCATCGCAAACTCTTGTTTTATCAAGCATGTCATAAGAATGTAATATACAGTAGTACCTCGGGTTACGAATTTAATCCGTTCCGTGACTCTGGTCACAACCCGATTTGTTTGCAACCTGAAGCAAATTTTCCCATAAGGTTCAATGAAATTACCATTAATCTGTTCCGGCGTCCGCAGACCACGCATCAAGGGTGGAAAAATGGCCGTGGACCACGTGGCAGGGTGGAAAAATGGCCACGGACCATGTGGCACGGGTGGAAAAACGGCCGTGGACCACACGGCAGGGTGGAAAAACGGCCGCTGACCACGTGGCACGGGCAGAAAAATGGCCGCGGACCACGTGTCACGGTGGAAAATGGCCGCGGATCCGGTTCGTACCCCGAGGCAGAGTTCGCAAACCG